TAGAAATACATGGCCGCAGTCACGGTAGTTGCACGTGGAATTGACGAGACAAGCAACCCTGTGCAGTTAAATGGCTTTTTTGGGAAAACATTTTATTTTTATAATTTGATTTCTCAAAGTGCAACTTTACCTGTGTATTGACTTGTTTCTCTATTTGTCAATCTACATTCTTTATCTTACTATTTTTCAGCGCTGAATATCTTTCAAGGTTTTAGATTGAGCTTTGCGAGAACTTCAGGACGCGCAGTTGACAAGTTGTGAGTATGGTTCAAGGGTTAATTCACACGGATAGTTTATTTTTGGAAAGCAAAGTTTGAGATTGTTTCGATGCAATACAGCTTTCCAGCAAAACCGAAGGTGTAATTTCTCGCATTTTCTAGACATGGTCAAAACTTGACTGTGCTTTACTTTTTTTTCCGTAAAAGTGAGCTGCTAACTATAAAAAATCTCGGGTTAAATATACCATATGAACAGTCCACTTCAGGCGGCGTGAATTTTTTAAAATTTTTCAAAGACCACAAATTGCACTCGCCCCACGGGCTCATGCACTTTTGTTAATCTTTGAATAAATTTACTCGCGCTTATTTATTCCAAATTGCACTCGAAATCATGTGATTACCTATACAAATTGAGCACTCTACCAGGATGGGTCATGTCGTGCAATTGTGCAATGCTCACTAGTTACTAATATGAGCACTCTGGCATGGCTTAGGTGATAACACAAATGCGGACTCATTTGGGTGGCGTGTAGCAAGAAGAGAAACGCTATCCGCCAATCGTTGATAGTAATTTAGAATTAAACTTTGTAATTTGAAAATGATTGGAGCAATCCATTAAAAAATTAACATATTTCATTACAATTGTAAAGCGAGTTAAAAACAAACTTTCTCGTCATTCACAACGAATATATGAAATACATAGTTCTGAACTGCGGTTTCACACGTTTCTTATCATTACAGCGTCCACCTGCAAAGAACCATACTTTTGGAAGGAAAAGAATATAACTATATCTTGAATTAAACTGCACGTAGCGACTTTATCAGACCTGCCTTTTGAATAAGGATCAGTAGCAAGGGTTGTTTTTGTTTTTTTACTGGAACAGTGAACTGATGTCAAAACTTGTCAAATTCTATCTTCAGTTCGACCATACCGACTTTTTTCGAAAATGATGTGATGTCCCGAAGCGGCAAGAAGTGTAGTTCTAATTAGATCCTAACTATACATCGGTAGGTCAACTATTATAACCACGCTTTTCGATCTACCGTCCCATAGCCTAAAAATCTTTTTCTTTGGCATCGGTGCTAAGAAGAAGATAAATTGTTTTTGTAGGCGCCAGCATTACCAGCCACAACGTTATTGGCGTTTTACGTAGTTTTGTCTTAGTTTGGCTTTAATTTGCGTTCACGTAGCTTTTGTTAATTATTCTTATATTGTGTGCTTCCTTTATTTCCAATATTAGGTTTTACATGGTATTTTGTTTACTTTGGCCTGGTTGATTATTTTCGTTATTTCAGGTTTAGCTTATTTTAAGTTTCGGTTGCCTATTTCAGGGCAGCGTTCTTTAGTCACAATCGTTTTTTACCGCTTTGATCACCATGATTCGCTTTGTGTTTTGTATGGATTCACTTGGTTTCTTTTCGTCGATGAATTACTTTAGGCGCGTAAAGTTTTCCTTAATTTTATTTCTCCAACAACTTTACAAAATCACTTCCTGAACATCACACAATATTAGGCTTGTTACTTTGAAGATGATCTCAATGGAACTGCCATCATGATTTCGGAAATGATTAGCTCTTTACTTCCCTTATTCTCCATACTGTTCTCTATAAATTTTCTAGGGTGCTAACGAGCTACTTTTCACAGCTACTAGAAAACTACTAGTAACTTGTTTAATTCCATTTTCGAGTAAGGAAACGGAAATAGGTGGAAACATCGACCTTTAAACGAATTAATTTTTAAACAGTAACAGCTGTTTTCAGCTTCATTACTATTTGCCAAAATACAGACACGTATACAGTATCAAAAACACATCGTGAAGATGATCTCAATGGAACTGCCATCATGATTTCGGAAATGATTAGCTCTTTACTTCCCTTATTCTCCATACTGTTCTCTATAAATTTTCTAGGGTGCTAACGAGCTACTTTTCACAGCTACTAGAAAAGCAGACTGTCGCCACCTATGCTCGGCAAGCGTTTTACAGCTAAACAATAGGTGGGCACATCGTGGGGGAAGGAAAGATTTCCATGTACTTACACTCGTCACCAGTCGCTTTCCCTTTGCGCTCTTTCTTCAAAATGTTGCGAACACCTGAAGACGAGGCTGATAAGGAACGGTTTTTATCACGATATTTAAAGTGGCTCTGAACCTACTCCCTATAATCATTTTAAACTGCAGAAAGAAAATAAAATCGGATAAAATGAATCTTCATATGCTGATTGGTTGCATAGAAGTGTCCAAGTAGCTTTTGAGTTAAATATGCTACATCCTGGAGAGCACATATGGCTTAAGTCAGAGGATGTTCTATAAATTCCATGATAGTGCTGTAGTCACCTTAGGGCACAAAAAATGATTACAACTTGTAAGTAACAATCAGTAACTTGTTTAATTCCATTTTCAAGTAAGGAAACGGAAATAGGTGGAAACATCGACCTTTAAACGAATTAATTTTTAAACAGTAACAGCTGTTTTCAGCTTCATTACTATTTGCTAAAATACAGACACGTATACAGCATCAAAAACACATCGAGTCAAGGGCACCTCACGTTTTTTTCTGGCTGTACAGGATAAGATTTGTTTCTTAAGTATGACTAAATCCATCCGTGCGATCAATGTCTCTACGTGATAGGACGGCTCGATTGTACAGTTCGATAAGACAATTTCCCTTTACACCATGTCGTACTAGCGTCTTAACATTGGTACTTGGAATACACTGCAATTCCGGCCTCGGCGCGCCCAATTCAAAACCATCAACGTGTACAATTTTTATTCCAGTCTTGTTCGCCAACATACCAACGTAGACATCGTCCAGTCTGAAGAAGGGTACTATGGAAAAAGCGTCGACGAACGAAGCAACAACATCGCGGGATAAAATGTATCCAAAACCTGCGCAAAAATCAGGATAATGTACTCCTGCTAATTCTTCCCGACTTACTTTCCATTTACCACTCCTGAGAATCCAAGGGTTTTTGTACTGCATGCCGGCATATAACATTACGTTTGGAATTATGGGCTCATTCAAGAAGGAGAAAACAGCAGCAGTATTCACGAAGACGTCATCGTCTGTTTTTAAAAGAAAAGAGAACCTGCAATACCTTATTGCCCATTCGAACCCCATTTGTATCTTTCTGGTCTGATTCCAGTATTGGTCAAAGTAGTCAGCTCGTATAAGGTCTCCATAAACTTCATCTTCCCTTAATAAAAAATTTGACAGAGGCTTAGTTTTTTCTTGAGCGACAAGAAAAACTGTTGTCCATCGCGGTTTGAGAGCTCGTCGGAAGGCCCATGTCAGACGAATATTATTCCTTCTTTCCGCATTAGCTGGAGCGGATGATACAAGAATAAGAAGCTCGTAGTGATGTGTACAAATTCTCTTAGTTATTAGAGATGTTCTATGTGCGAATTGCAAAGTTGAAAGATCACCAAGGTAGAGAGAGAGAAGTTCGGTAATTGGTTCCTGTTTTTCGTTTTCCAATTGCTGATCCTTTTTCTGGAGCTCAGCGGCATGAAATGGACCCGACTTTAAAGCTGGCGTTGTAGCAGACTCGTGCGACCAACTGAAGAAGAAATGGATCACAAAAAATGTAAGTTGTAGACTCGTAACAGTTGCCAAAGCAAGTAGAAGGATTTTAGTCCCTATTTTCTTCATTTATCTGTCAGGAGATTGACAGAAAAGGAAATCAATTAATGATTTTAAGAGTTTTTAATTTCAACATTTGGTATAACCGCATGGCAACTCTGCAGAGCCTCAGTAATGTTACGGTACTGATAATTAAGGTCTTTTATGTTTCGTTACAAACGACCTTACCGCGTCTGCAGATGTCGATAGTTTGCTAAGATAATTAATTTTTACATTAAAATAGATCTCTGCAAGAATCGATGGCACTGGGAAACGGCTTTTTTCTCAGTTGATAACCCATGAGTTTTTGTTTTGGTTATATATATTTATGTATAATGCAAATAAAACTGACTCGCTAATTATGCATACAACTAAGTAAGCTGCCAAAAGAAATCTAAAAAAGCTCAGGCTTGAAAGGGATTCGAACTCAGAACAGTTTTTGATAACTGTGTTGCTTGTCAGGAGTTATACACCAGTTGATTGTGCCTATTTTGACGTAATTACACGAATCGTATAAATGTATTTATAAAGAAAAAACTAATTGCAATCTATTTATCGCTGTTAACAAAATTTTTACAGCGATTTCGAGTGTCCGTAGTAACCAGGGGCGTAGCGTCGATATACGCACGTACGCCCGGGCGTTCAGCTGAAATCTGGATAAAAAATCATTTTTATTTCCTTATAGCATTTGTCACAGTTACCATAAAATAGGACCGATTTTTAAATTTAGAATTATACTGGCTTGCGTGTTTCTTTTTCCAGTACCTTTTCATTAATCCATAAACGACAAGAAACTTTATTTGGCTTCCTAGACTTGTTAATTCTCTAGTTATTTCAGCAAGCCAACACCTTTTTAGCTTTAAAACTCTAGAGAAGGGTAACATAAATAACTAACTACTGCATTTTCCGTCGCATTTAAGGGCCTATCCGCACTAGCGGACAAAACTAGAATTGTTCCGATAAAATCGAAGGACAAATTTTGTCAGGAAAAATTTTTGTCTTGTCTGCGGTATCCGCATTCAAATTCTCAAAGCGGGCAAATTCTGTCAAAACCTGAGCAGCAATGATTATTTTTTAAACTTTTAATTTTGCGCGCGCCAAAACATCGAACATTTTGGCGGGATAATGGATCGCGTTCAAATTCTCTTACTAGTCGCATGTTTCGTGCTTCTAAATCTCGCCCAGATCGCAGAAGAAACGCTGCTTATGATGTGCTTGTTTTTACGGCATCAATTCCTTCACAACTTCTGACTATGAAATCAAGACGTTTGGAATGACGATGACAATGACGACCCTGGAGATCAAGGTCACGACAATAACGACGATGATGTTATAAGGGATGGAGATGACGTGCGAAGTGAGTTAAGGGACATTCCAAATGCATAACTGAATCAAAACATTGTAATCAAAGTTATTTTCCCATTGTAATCACCCGAATAAAACAACTGAATCTAATTTAGTACAATATTAACAAAACTACAAAATATATCACCAAGGCTAAATTCGTTGTCGAAATGTTACACTCATAAGTGATCCATATTTTTGTCCTTTTACACTTGGGACTCGTCAAAACTATTCATATTACAGTTAAGAAAATCAAATTAAATCAAATTGATTATAATCGGTCCTTTCCTTAAAAATTATTTTATAGTACGGTAAATATATGATGAAATGACACTTGTAATTGTGAACAATAACTATAACAAACTACGACCGTCCTTTCTCCTAATACTTGTCAAGTCTTTTTCCAGTAAATTTTTAAACTCCAAAGTGGCCTATTTTATATCTTTGATATCTTCTAGTTGCTTGCTCTGATTTTCCTGCAAGCCTTGTATAATTTCCGTTAGCTTTTCTCCCTGCCTTTCAATCGATTCGGATGCTCCTCCTGAGCGAAGTTGCCTCTTCATCTTCTCCATTTCGGGTATTTTTCTCTTCGTTGCTCTCTTCCGCTCTTAATTTCCTAGCTCTGCTGGGCGGTTTACGGCGTTGGATAATTCAGCACTACTTGTTCCACTTGTCCTATTGGCTATTGGTGCTTGGCTGTGGGCCTGGAGTTCCAGAACTACTACTAGGTGCAACAGAGTCATGATCATCGGTTCTTGGGGAAGTCGGACTCGAGATTGGAGAATCGGTACGTGTCCCTGCTTCGACCACGTGGTTAAGGGTAACAACATCTCTTGTCCTAGGAACACGATCAATTTTGTCATAGAAGACACTTTTTCTTAATTGGCCTCCACTCTGAGTTTTTTTTCCAGGTTTTTGCATCCTTATATTTGTCGATAAGGTATTTGTTTTTCTTCTGGCATTTTTCTACTGTCTTTTTCGTTCCAAAATTGATCTCGATCTCTTGACACATCTCTTGCCACGCTATCCCAGCGTCTTTGCTTTCTAAATGGTCTTGCTTTTCGGACCACAGATCAACCAGGAAACTCTGTTCTTCGTTAGACCATTTGTCGTAACTAGATTTCCCTTTTCCTTTGTTTTGCGAAGGCGTTTGCGTTTCTTGTTGCAGCGCTTGTACGACCACTTCTGTTTCGTTGGATTGAAACGGGCGTGACGACTGGAAAAACACACCATTGTTGTAGCTTGGCCCAGCTACATGAACACTGTTCAATTGATCGTTGTATGGTAGAACGTTCCAGCGTCCTACGGAGTTTGTCTGCTCATATGGCAGACCGGCATAGTTTTCCAATGGATTTAAATTCCAATTGCCGGGATTCATCTTTACGTTACGCGTTCACTGTTAAAGCATCCAGTTTTCAGCGTTTCGCAGGAAATGTCTCAGAAGGTAATTTGAATTCAGTTCACTTACCAATGCCAGGCAGGCCGTAATAGCTTTTTTGACAAATGATTGACAAGTTTAACACATTTGTCGATTTTGGAAAATTTTAACCCGGGACAAATTTTGTCGGCGGTGCGTTTGAAAATCTGTCCGCTTCGGACAAAATTTGTCAGGTCGCGACAAACCGTCCGCACTTGTGAAGCGCTGGTGATGACAGAAAATTTGTCTAAATTAACAATTTTGTCGCTAGTGCGGATAGGCCCTCATTTATAAAAAAAAAGTTCCTCGGATATAATTGGAAATGGCATTTCCGAGACCCTAAATTTCAACATTTTCTGGGGGAGCATGCCCCTGACCCCCTTACTTTGGGGTGCCTTCGGTGCTCCCAATTTCCGCGCTGTGCGTACACCTTCAAAATCTCACGCTATGCCCCTGGTAACTATTAACTTAGGAAGGAATGCTTGCAAGGAAATTGCATAATCCAAGGGTTTCTGCTCATTTTATAAGGCAAGAAAGGGTAGGGCACTCAGCTGACCGGTTAAACAGGTTTTTTTACAGTACAAAAGAATCAAATGTACACTATCGCAGGATATTTGTACTCTATTTGTGCGTTATTTGTACTCTTCTTTGTGCAGTTGGGTAATAATTTGCGATACTCGATTACAGTACAGTATTTTAATTTAAAAAAATTATTGCAAATAAAGCAAATTTCCATAACTTTAATAAGAGTTAAGTATATATGTATTGATATAGGAAGGCGAGGGGAAGGGAAGGGGGAAGAAGTCCCCTATACGAAGCAAGAGCGTGCAAAGCACACTAAATTATAATAACGGCCGCTGACTCTACTTCGCCAAAGCACAAACAAGTTCGGTATGTATGTATATCAATGGCATTATAGTTACACTTTATCACGGGGAAGAGTTCGGTGTTCACTAAATTGAAAGGACCAACTACAAGGTCACAGTTCCATGCTTCCCTATGATAGGTCTGAAGTGTCAGTTACAACCAAAGCAGATTCCTTTTTCTTTTTACAAGGTTTTGCTAGACTTCTGCGAGCTGAAGACAAACTTCCATTGTTTTAGCCTCGTTTCTCCTCCAGACCAGAAATTGTAGGGTAGGAGGGGAAAGGCTTGTTTATTGTTACGGACAGTCTAGCTCTTGTCAATCAGTCCAAATTTATCATATGGCCACGGGTCTGGAAATTTGAATTTTGATCTGAAATATAGCGGCGCCACCAAAGCGAAAAAAAAAGTCAAGGAGAAAAATGGAAAAACAAAATTGGTGGGTGAGAAAGCAAACTATGTTCGTGCGATTTGAATCGTTTTTATATCAGGATTGATCTCATTTATGCTAAGAGACCACTGACCCTTTCTAAATTTATTGAAAATCAGATTGAAGAGCTAACACAGCCGGCCCTACGTATAACGCTTCGGGCGTTAATTTACTGGATCCGCAAGGACACACCGGCAAAAAACAACCTTGGGAAGGCTAGAGGAACAAAAGAACACCTCATCATTTCGTTCTTTAAATTTTTTTTTGTGGTGTGGCAAGTTAAAGTGTTTCTGAGTGAAGCGCTTGCCTTTAAACCGCCAAATATTTTGGCCATTTTTTTGCGGTTTGCGAAGTTGAGAAACACCTTTCGCTACAATAGCGTCTTCCAAGGATTATTGGTTTTTCTGTAACTACTTGCTGAAGACAAACAAGGCAATGAAGGTTATAAGTGTTTATTAAGACGTAGATAATCAAAAAGCAAGAAAATCTTGACACCTACTCCTGTAAGTTTTTGAGATCCTTCATTATGTCTTGTTAACTGAGTTCTGTACAGAGTTAAATGTTAATGAACAGCCATAAGAAATCAGTCAAGAAAATATCCTGGTATGATCATCTCATTGGTTTACTTTGGAATCAAGTCATCAATCGATTCACCTTTCTCCAATCTTTTCTCCATTTCAATCATCAACTGGACTCCGTCAATCACTGCTTGAACTTGCTCCACCTCCGATTTTCCTAGCCTATCAGCATTGGAAATGTCAAAAGTTCCTCCCACTGAAGCCGTGTCTACACCTCCTGTGCCGCGCTTCTGGAGACGCAATTTCTTCAGGATGCCATCCAGTCTCTCTTCGTCTTTGCTTAACTCTGGGATTTTGAGGTGTACGCCTCCTCGGAGCCCAGTACCAAGGTTTGATGGGCAGGTCAAGATATAGCCAAGATGCTCACTCCACATGAAACCGTGACCAGCTCCTTTGATCAGTTGTTCGACCTAATGGAAACAGCAGCAACAACAATAACAAGAAATACCAATTCATGGAAAAAGGTTTCTGAATGGATAAGCAAACAAAAGCCTGGCCAAAACTCTTTGATAGACACAGGCAAAAGGTGTATAATTTGTGACTTTCTGTTTTGCCAATTCATGTATTAAGAAAATTGCGTTTGGTTACAATGAAATAAATGAAATTCATATATTTTGAACTGCGGTATTAGATACGTATGATGCACGATCCTCGCAGTAGATAGCGCTATTTAAGCAATAGCGAAAATCAGACCTGAAAAAAATCAGGCCTGTACGGGATTCGAACCACTGACCTCTGCGATACTAGTGCAGCGCTCTACCAATTGAGCTAACAAGCCAACTGGGAGCAGGCCGTTAAGTTGATTCGTAATAAACCCGTGAAAGTGATAAATCAGATACAATGAAATATATGAAGTTCATATATTTTGAACTGCGGTATTAGATACGTATGATGCACGATCCTCGCAGTAGATAGCGCTATTTAAGCAATAGCGAAAATCAGACCTGAAAAAAATCAGGCCTGTACGGGATTCGAACCACTGACCTCTGCGATACTAGTGCAGCGCTCTACCAATTGAGCTAACAAGCCAACTGGGAGCAGGCCGTTAAGTTGATTCGTAATAAACCCGTGAAAGTGATAAATCAGATACAATGAAATATATGAAGTTCATATATTTTGAACTGCGGTATTAGATACGTATGATGCACGATCCTCGCAGTAGATAGCGCTATTTAAGCAATAGCGAAAATCAGACCTGAAAAAAATCAGGCCTGTACGGGATTCGAACCACTGACCTCTGCGATACTAGTGCAGCGCTCTACCAATTGAGCTAACAAGCCAACTGGGAGCAGGCCGTTAAGTTGATTCGTAATAAACCCGTGAAAGTGATAAATCAGATACAATGAAATATATGAAGTTCATATATTTTGAACTGCGGTATTAGATACGTATGATGCACGATCCTCGCAGTAGNTCCCGTACAGGCCTGATTTTTTTCAGGTCTGATTTTCGCTATTGCTTAAATAGCGCTATCTACTGCGAGGATCGTGCATCATACGTATCTAATACCGCAGTTCAAAATATATGAACTTCATATATTTCATTGTATCTGATTTATCACTTTCACGGGTTTATTACGAATCAACTTAACGGCCTGCTCCCAGTTGGCTTGTTAGCTCAATTGGTAGAGCGCTGCACTAGTATCGCAGAGGTCAGTGGTTCGAATCCCGTACAGGCCTGATTTTTTTCAGGTCTGATTTTCGCTATTGCTTAAATAGCGCTATCTACTGCGAGGATCGTGCATCATACGTATCTAATACCGCAGTTCAAAATATATGAACTTCATATATTTCATTGTATCTGATTTATCACTTTCACGGGTTTATTACGAATCAACTTAACGGCCTGCTCCCAGTTGGCTTGTTAGCTCAATTGGTAGAGCGCTGCACTAGTATCGCAGAGGTCAGTGGTTCGAATCCCGTACAGGCCTGATTTTTTTCAGGTCTGATTTTCGCTATTGCTTAAATAGCGCTATCTACTGCGAGGATCGTGCATCATACGTATCTAATACCGCAGTTCAAAATATATGAACTTCATATATTTCATTGTATCTGATTTATCACTTTCACGGGTTTATTACGAATCAACTTAACGGCCTGCTCCCAGTTGGCTTGTTAGCTCAATTGGTAGAGCGCTGCACTAGTATCGCAGAGGTCAGTGGTTCGAATCCCGTACAGGCCTGATTTTTTTCAGGTCTGATTTTCGCTATTGCTTAAATAGCGCTATCTACTGCGAGGATCGTGCATCATACGTATCTAATACCGCAGTTCAAAATATATGAACTTCATATATTTCATTGTATCTGATTTATCACTTTCACGGGTTTATTACGAATCAACTTAACGGCCTGCTCCCAGTTGGCTTGTTAGCTCAATTGGTAGAGCGCTGCACTAGTATCGCAGAGGTCAGTGGTTCGAATCCCGTACAGGCCTGATTTTTTTCAGGTCTGATTTTCGCTATTGCTTAAATAGCGCTATCTACTGCGAGGATCGTGCATCATACGTAAAATTGCGTTTGTTTTTAACTACGTAAGCTAATTCATGTATTGGGAAAATTGTGTTTGTTTTTAACCACGTAAGTCCCTCTCTCGGTGCCTTCCTTCTAAAAAAAAGCTGAGTGCGAAGGAATGATTAAAATCTGATCAACAATTTACGTGGAAGAAGAGCAGTAACGAATTGCACTGAGCATCACCCAAAGGTGTCCACGGAGACTTTGCGTGATGATGATATATATGGTGAACAAGCTTTTTGGCACCAGCCACTTATATGATTGTGGACAAATTTTGATACTGTATGGATATCGACGTTAAATCTTGAGAAATCACATATTAATGTTACTAAACCCAGAGATTCATTTGCAACATCACCTAAATCATCTCTTTATCAAACTCTAGTTTTCGATGTGTTAAATTTATGGAATGATTTCTTAATTTGAACTTGTTTCACGACTGCAGTTGAACTTATAATAAACACCACCGTATTTAACGGTCACCCTGTATTAAGCGGCCTTTTTACAAAGTTCCGAACTTGTTTCCTGTTTTATCATTGTAATTTTACCTTTATTAAGCGGTCACCTTTACTAATTGTAAGTCCCAAAGACTTCTTTGTATTGTCAAACCATCCAAGTAAAACTAATAATCCTTCAAGTAACGTTTAATCCATCTTTTTCTCTCAAAATCAAAGTGAGTAGTAATTTTGAGCGAGATTCTGTACGTGAAGTGCTAAATTATGGCATTAAGTGGCGTTGTGTTTTGTTTTTTTATCATACACAAAAAACTGTTTTTAGCGGTTATTCCAGAATTCCCCGTGGGAAATCGCTTAATACAGGTTCGACTGTGGTGTCGGTCAAATTACCTTATTTAGCCCAGTGCAAAAGCGTTCAAACACAGCGGCCATATCTCCTCCTTTCTGCATGGAAATCACCCGAGTGTGATCCTCTTCATTGATCCACACCAAAAAGTTTTTCTTTTCATTGTGCCAGATCCCGCGGGCATCGGGCCAGTCACGTGCCATTCCAGCACACGTAAGAAGAGGAGACACGGGTTTGTCAAACAGGAAGTGGTCCTCAATCAGTTGTTCCTGTTCAGCTTCTGTCATTTTGTCGAGCGGATAGTATCTGAAAAAGGGGTTAAAAATTGGAATTTAAAAGAACCAGTTAAAAAAAGAAAAAGCTGGAGCGATGAATTGACAAACGTAGTCACTTTTTTACTTTTTTGCTTTTTACTCATACAGTATCAAAGGTGTAAATAGGGGAAATGGGATGCTGCAAGTGGCTCCTTCCTTTACAAAAATGATGATGTTTCTAAATTTCATCAAACAATCTGATAACCCTCCCAATGCTAGCTGCCCACGAATTTTTGCCGGTAAATCTTTTTGCAGCTTTTAAAATATTCCGTTATTTTGAATTATATTATTGTAACATCAAGTCGAATTTTGTTTTCTTATGAGTACGACAGTTCTGTTTCTTGTGGTGTCGTTTAGTTTTACTAATTTTAAAGTCCGATGCTTTTAACCTCTGTCTGCACTGGCCGTAAAACATTTGGTTCAGAAGGTGACACTAGTGCACAGGAGACTGGACACAGGACACTAGACAGGCCGTAAAACATTTGGTTCAGAAGGTGACACTAGTGCACAGGAGACTGGACACAGGACACTAGACATAGGACACTGGACACAGGACACTGGACACAGGACACAGGACACTGGACACAGGACACTGGACACAGGACACTGGACACAGGACACTGGACACAGGACACTAGAGACTGGAGATAGGTGCTTCTACTTAATGTATACGGTATTCATTGTAACTGGGATTCACTTTTGTTAAAAAAACGACTCTTTCTTTGGATCTCGATGAGTTTTTGATAATACCCGATACATCTGCCTTACGCACGCCCTGGATTTTCGATTAGAGCGTTCTTGAAAAGAAAATCTATTCATACTTTCCCTTGAATTCCCCATCCAGGTTATTCAGGGCGTCAACCACAGCCTTCTCAACTCCTCGTCGCTCAGCACGTGTGCAGTGTGGTGGCAAGGAAAATCCCTTAATGGAGCGCCCGGTGCGAACACGTGACGATAATACATAGTTCTCATCAAGTTTGCCGCCTTTTATTTTGGTGAAATCGAGGTCGGTTTTGTGCTTGTCAGTTTTCTTGTAGCCGTTATGACGCATCTCGATTACTGGATCCAACAGGTCGGCAAACACTTCATACGATTCTTCATCTCCTGCTACACACCCTACGGTCATTATGAATGGATGACCTGATAAAGAATCAACGTACAAGCACAGTGTCGAATAACATCGCTTCCTACTATATTGTGAATACCTACTCGCAAATTAAGATTACAATAATAATGTAACCTAATGACCTAAAACTTGCTGCCAAAGGACCTTTCCTAGACTGCGGAACTTTCCATTTGATGCCATCAATAACTGTAGTACAACCTTTAGCACGTATTAGGAAGCAGCAAAAGACTTGTGGCTTTTTATTCTTAAGTTTTATGATTTTCAAAATCATCAAAATTATCGACTTTCTTTAAACACGCAGTACACTTTTTAGACTTAATTTTTACTACTTTGATATTGAATCTCCAATTCTCTCAATGCAGGTTTAAAAAACAAAACCATCCAGGGAAGCGCTCTCAAAAAGTTGCAGGTTGAAAGTTAACCGTTATTTAGTAATATTTCAAAAATTTCAACACGAGTGAATCATTTTTTTCCTCCTGGAGCGAGTGTAAAATTTAAAGAAAAATCCCAAGATATGCTACATTCGATTAGGTGGAATCTCCGAAAGTGATCGAAAAGTGAATATTTATGTTACTCGTACTCAAGTAGAGTACTTGAATAAATTTGCGGCCTAAAAGTGCGTTTTCTCTTTTTTCTGCACCATCAATGCCGCTCATCCAGCAGTTAATTTCAAGGATTTTCTGCTTAATCTTCGCCTGAATGCCACACCAGCTGATTCTATAAAGCTCTCAGAAACTTTATCATTTTTCAATACAAAATTTTCTGATACTTTCTCTTTCTTCTTTCCACTGCACATACGAGTGGATGTTAAATGTTGTACGCTTTTTTTAATTTTTTTGTACGGCCCTACGAATGTCACTTATATAGAAGCCCGTTTCACTTTCATAGGCAGTTTTTCTCGCGCGCGCGAGGACTGGTTGAATAAATTCTCATCAGATGAAGGTTACAATCAAGTGCTTATGCCGTACAGAAAAACATTTACAACCATTAACAAGAACGAGAGTGGTTTCTTGGCCTACCTGGATTATCCACACCAGTTTGAATAACGTCGTCCAAGGTGAATCCATTCTTGGTGACCTGTCCTCTCAACTTTTCATAAATCTCTGGCGTGAGGGCCTTTGCCATGTAGTTGTTATGTGTAGAAAGATCGGGAAAGTCATCTTTAGCAGTAAACTTCTTATAAGCTGCTTTGATTTCACCCATTATGTAACGCAGAACGAAGCCTCTCACAGAGCGAATATCGTGTCAGTTACCCTTGCTGTTGACTGGCTTCAACTATCGATCCAATTAACCACTGTGACGTCTAACAATGCAATATAATTATCAGTTAATGAATAGCACTATCAAGATCCCTAGATTAACTAATGTTTATTGGTTAGAGTTGTTTCAAATCATTTGGATTATTGACTGCAGGGGAAACAGCGCAATTGGTTTCTCTGTGGCCACTGACCTACACTGTGGTGACACCCGATATTTTTACACCAAAATAATACAAACGGTGCCCCAAAAAGAAAAAAAAATCCAGACAAGCGAATAAAGTTCCCATTTTTACCGCGCGGAAGTTAATTCAATAATTAAGTAAAAATCAAGCGTGAGAGTGACAAGAATATTATCCCCTTTGGTTTCCTCTTTATAGAAGTCAACTTACTTGGTATGGCTCGCTTTGTCTCCCAGATCTCACTTTATATTTTACTAGTCGAATCTGTATATCGAATTACTAAAATTGACTTTGAAAAGTTCTGTCTTGCTATTGCCAGTTTTCACAGTCACACTATCATCAAAATCCTCAACAGATAAAGCCGAGAATCAAAGAGATTAAAGAAGATGAATATTCAAACCGTTTCGCAAAGATTCAAATCTGTACGATGTTTCGTGCGGGAGATGTTCGAAGAAGTGTTCTATTCAAATTTATAACGCTTTGTATTGAGACTCCACGTTTGTGGGGCACAAATATGGCGGCCGGAAGCTATTGCCGTAGGCCTTATAAACATCTATACGAGTATTTGTTTGATATCATGAAAGGACTATTCAGATTGCAAAATTTCAGCAGATGAGTCACTTTTTTAACCTATGTGACAGCATTCTCGGCCATTTTATATGACAAAGCGAAAAACCAGATCAAACTAAACTCTATCAATACAAAGGTAAGATAAGTCTTTGGCTGTTCTGAAAACTAAGATAAAATCTGAAAAAGAATCAGTGGTAATACCTTGTTTTTAATTTCGATGACGTCAAGTGAAAAGCAATTCATACGTGATAACTTCGTCTGATCAATGAGTGTTTAATTGCTTGTCTTACAAGTTTAAGTCGCTGGCAGATCAATTAAGTACCGCAAGGTTTCAATTGCCTCTCCATTTAGCTGAAATAATGAGACTCATTTATTCTTCTGTTGAATCGAAATAGAAAATGCCGGTCTGAATTAATAATAACATAGGACAGAAGATATAAAAAAAATAGACATTCAGTTGAAAACTGCTGAAACTACGATAGCAATCACTAGTATTAATCGTCGAAGGCTTTCCTAAATAAAACTCTCGAGTTAATAAGAAATTAGTTAAAATTGAGGCACCCAAAACATAAAAAATGAGGCACACAAAGTCCAATTTGATCCTCGGCAGCTTTGTTGTTTTCCCCTTGTTTTTAGTGTTTAACGCGTTATGATGTAATTTTTGGAAGTAGTCCCGAAATGGGAAACATAATTCCATTAGAATAAGTAGTCAGTAAACCATTGTAGTTCCTTACTATGTTCGCTATAACGGGACAATTTACTTAATAGAACGGAATGAAAACTGCTCCCGGCCTCCTTCCTGATAAAAACGTGAAGTAAATAACAGTTATTTCCGTTGAGACTCACATTTAAAGAGGGGAATCACCTTTGCCGCTCTCCACTCACCAGGCACAACCCCAGTTTCAAGAGATGAATTAATGAGACATGTCAAAGGTTTAGTCAAAACAAGAGCAGAGTCTTTAAGCAATACGGGAGGGAATTATCCAGTCTAGACGCTTTCTTTCGTTTAAGATTTCTAAGCTCTTAAAGAATATCCGATTCTTTCGGAGTTTCAAAAGTGACTTTCCATAACTTGATTGGGGGGATTTTCTTCAGCAGATTCGCTCCTGGAAAAGTAACGAAGCAAGATTGATTTGCTTTTCAGATTTCTGCCGGCAACGGTACTGAAATATTCGGAAAAGTTGTTTGCAAGGAAGCTTTCATCAGTTGACTTTGATTCTTTTATCACAACACCGAACCTTGTTCAGGGGGTTATTTGGTAGGAGAGGCAGCAAAATCTTTAAGGCGATCTCGATTATATCTGCTTTCACATTTTTTAACAAGGCCAGATACTCTGTTGAGTTGCCTTTATGTTAAGACCCTGTTGGGCGGGCTTTCCTGAGCAAACCTTTCCTGAGATTCATCTCTTTTTTTTTACATCCGGAGTCAACCAAGGACATAGTAGGCCCTTGATCTTCTTTGAAATAAGGGGGGCATGTTTGACGATACACCGTTTTCAAATACATTAATAATTCATAGCTCGAGCCCTCCAATCAACAACTGTTTACCTCATTACGTGGATGCGTTTGGATAGCCAACGGAGAAACTAGATGAAAATCTTTTAAGATTTGGATACAATTACAATTTATCACTTATAGAGCGCTATTTACAATGACAGATCAACAGCGCTTTACAATCAATCCTAACTCACTCATCCCACCCCAGGGGAGAACATCCATCACACAGTAATCTCGTGCGTGGGAAATTAACGTCTCCTACCCCTAACCCTGTAGGAGACGGGACCTCCATTTATTCGTCCCGATCCGAGAAGACTAGAATATCTAACCATTTCTTGATGTTATAGAAAGGTAGCATATTCTTCTCAATTATTTTAAGACCTTGAGTGTTGGTCCGGCCGGGGCTCGAACCCTCGACCTCCAGCACAACAGTCCAGCCCTCAGATGCACATGGTTAATTCCAGCGCTCAAATGCACCTGGTTAATTTACACATTATCGCAGTTCGTAGAATTTATAACGACTTTAACATTACAATTATCGAAAGTTACACTCTGAAATACTGAACTGCTTGTACATCCACACCAATCTTTTCAGTCCGCTTGGCTCAGTGGCAAATCTTGAGCGTTCTTTGGTCTTACCCGTCGCCCAGAGTGGCAGATATCATATCTGAGCCCGCGTAAAAACGGTTTGTTTAAAGATGCACGGAATCGAGGCACTTGGACCAAAGGCTTTATAAATTCTTAAAGTATCACTGTATATTTCAAAACAACACGCATTTTACGCTATTTTTTTTTTTTTACTTTTATCGACAATCTGAAGCATTCAAAAAGCAAAGATAGCAATGGTTAGACATTGTATTGCATTCGGATGCAACAACCGGAGCGATAAATCACATTGTAAGCATCTTTCGTGGCATTCACTGCCACTGAACAACAAGAAACTTCTGGCGACTTGGCTAGTCAAGATCAAACGGGAAAACGCGCCCGTGAGTAAAAATTCCTTTTTATGCAGTGAACGTTTTGAAAAGGAATGGCTTTTCCAAGTCATATACTGGCCGGAAAGTCATCATCAATCGAGCGTCTTTCCTTCGGAGCCTTCCTTTTGGTTTTCTGTTCGGAGAAACCGAATATTGTGGGAACTGAGTTTGACTTAAGACTTACTTTCCGGACAGCATATGACATGGAAAAGCATTCCTTCTCAAAACGTTCACTTCATAAAATGGAATTTTTACTCACGGGTGTGTTTTCCCGTTTGATCTTGACTAGCCAAGTCGCCAGAAGTTTCTTGTTGTTCAGTGGCAGTGAATGCCACCAGAGTTAATATTAACTCTGATGCCACGAAAGATGCTTGCAATGTGGTTTATCGCTCCGGTTGCATCCAAATGCAATACAATGTCTAACCATTGCTACCTTTGCCTTTTAATGCTTCAGATTGTCGATAAAAGTAAAAAATTGGGTAAAATGCGAGTTCTTTTGAAATATACAGTGATACCTTCGAGAATTTACGAAGCCTTTGGTCCAAGTGTCTCGATTCCGTGCATCTTTGAACAAAGCCGCTTTTACGCGGGCTCAGATCTAATATCTGCCGATTCTTTTTGTGTAGCCAGCCAACTGCGCTAAATTTGAAATCTCTTCGGCGAGAACATGCTAAACAATAGAGAAAAATGCTTACTTTTTTTATATTTTGAGGAAACTGCGTAACATTCATTAGTTTTAGCATATGGCTTTTATAGAAAAAGTATTAATAAAACAGACTTTACAATCGCAGAGTTTCCAGTTCTGGTTTTTTTCTCTTGAAATTGGGTTTTTTTTTGTCACTCGTTAGTATGGAAAGTCGCTTTTGATTTACATCAAGGCTTGATTTCTCAGGAACTGAATCCAAATTAGCATATGGTTATGGTAATCTGACATTTAAGGAAGCCTCGTACAAATTTTCGAAGGATTTTACGATTGGAAGTTCTGGTTTTTACCTAACTCCTGAAACGACTTCTAGTCACTTACTTGTTTGGCCCTTGTACAGATTCCCAGGGGAACTCGACCGCCCGTGTTCAAAACTCCCGCGCTTTGTAAAGAGCACGAGCAAAGCGCAGCGTACAAGCGAGGGACCCGTGATTCACGCTCGCTATTTGGCAATACTTTTAACTTAAAACCCCTTTTCTGTGGAATATGCTTTGGTCATCGTACTTTAACCATTGCGAATCTGACGACATAACGCTCTGCAAAGAGCGAGAATAAGATATCACGTCTTTTAGACACATTCGATGCACTTAAAATAACTTTAAAACGATCTAAACCGGCACTGTTAAAACGCGGTAGTTTAATAAAAATTTCGCTCTTCGAGCCTCTTCAGTCGTCCGCCATATTAAAGTTATGTAAAGAGCGTGAGTAAAAGAGCGTAACGTACAAGCGAGTTACCCGCGCATCGTGCTCGCTATTTGGCAACGCTTTTAAAACCTGTTCTGCGGAAAATTTTTTTGCCATCGCGTTCTAACCATTGCAAATCTAACGAGCCAAAAAAAAAAAAAAAAATTTTGCCGAACACGAACTTGTTGACAAAATGCTTTGTAAAGAGCGCGGCCCGCCTCTAATTACAGCGCTATTGTTAACTTTATCACGCCTTTGGATTTACATCATGCATCATACCGTTTGATTGACAGCAGTTGAATCTGCCGAGGGACAAGAGTATTCCCAAAGCTTAATCTGTTGACCAATTACAACCGACTTGTTCTGTATATGCAAATTGTTGAGCCGCGCATCAAGAAACTGGTCACTGTAAGTACATGTTGCGAAAGCCAATAGCATTCTGGGCGATGCATTGTTGAAAAATCTGTAACGCTCACTTGTTCTTGTTAACCGTAGATTTCAGAACAGAATTGATAACAAGTCGAACGTTTTGGGCATCCGAAATCTTAAACTTTACTCATCCATGTAGCACAAAACAATGAATATGATAAACACTAAATCAACCTGGATAAATCCCGAATGACGCATTCCATTCAAACTGTTTTTATCACACAGCTCAACAAGACTCAATAAATAATAATAGTCGGCCACTTGTTTGTGCCGTGCGAGCAGAACCTTTTTAACCCGTCAATGAAGAAAAGAAGAAGGAAAGAAGAAAAGGCTCTGCTCGCAAGGTACTTGTTTGAGAAGCTATACCAAAAATTCGTGCTTCGTGTTTCATCAGGGGTTCCAAGCACCTCAAAACAATAAAAGCACGCGGCTTTCTGCCTCGTGCTTTCATCTGTTTCTCTGTGTTTGGAATCCCTGATGAAACACTCGCACTCGATTTTGATTAATTACCCGAAGAATGTCTCGAAAAGAGGTCCATGCCTCATTTACGCTGATAGAATAGATGAGTAAACGACTTCAAGATTCGCAAGGTTTAGATCTTCGCAAAATTGCTTGGGGTCATAGCTAGCAAATTTTCGGCAAGTAATGATTCGCGGATTGAATCATTGTACAGCTCGCGAGCACATCCTATGAGTTCATGATCACTCAAGTCAGCTGGGATTTTTTTCACCGAAAAGATGTAAAGCGGTACGTTGCTGCAAATAACATCAATTAAAGTCTTGGACTTGCGCGTGAATTTCGTGGGGCTGGTTCAGACCAAAGTAGGTGAGAATGGAGTTAATTACTTTATTATCAGAGGACAGAAAAAAAATTTCAGTTAATGTCGAGTAAGAGAATGCACTCTTTGTCTTCAGCTGATACTGTCGGTTTAGAAAGAATCCGGAGGGCGGTGAATAATAGCACGTTTAAACTGCAAAAAAATTGCTTTTTAATGTAGAAAAGAGCGCAAGTGAACAGAGCGAAATAACACACAACCACCCGTAACAATGCCATAAGCTTATGCTTGGGAAAACTGAATTCGCTCTCCGGGGAGAATATCGCTCTAAGTGTTCAAATGTCGTTCTTTAGATTCAAGCTGAGGTATTTCTATAGCAAAATGAAAGGCTCGGTTCTTGAGAACTTGGCAATTCAAATTTTGCTTTTCGGAGGAGATAATGATGAATTATATTGCCAGGTTGATTTGACTCACGAGAAGACACCACTTTTTTTACGTTTATTTGAGCCAGGCCGAGAAAAGACTTGTCTAAAATGAAATGACAAAAAAAAAAAAAAGAACTATTCTTGCTAAAATCACGACAGTGCCAATAACGCCACGTAAGATGAACGAATATGTGCGGTGCGGCATATATGTTTACTTTGAAAGTTTGAACACCAAGAATTGTTAATCATAAACAAGATGAAATCATACGAAAGGCTATTTTGAATTTAAGACATCGTCGCCTCCGATGCACGTCAGAGAAGAAACTTTAAACTGAGGTTATCAAACGGTGCCAGGGAAAACAAGAACCAGGAGAAAACGGCGAGATTGGGCAAATTTGAATTCAGGGAAGCAGGGTTGGCGGAGTGGTGAGAGCGCTCGCCTTCCACCAATGTGTCCCAGGTTCGATTCCCGGACCCGGCGTCATAAGTGGATTGAGTTTGTTGGTTCTCTAATCTGCTCCGAGAGGTTTTTCTCCGGGTACTCTGGTTTTCCCTTCTCCTCAAAAACCGTCAGCATTTGAATTTATTTAATTTAGAGTTTATTTGGATTTACACACGACCCCACAAGCTGTTCAGCTTTAAACATTATCGTGTCTAAATAAAGGTGTTATTATTAATATTATCATTAGACAAGCAGCATAGGTTTCCTTCCTACCTCTTAAAGAACGTTATTCCTCTCCCACATTTCTCACCTCGAGACAATTTTCGTTATGTCGTCCCCAACAACTTGTAAGCTTAGTTTTCTCCCATCGATCTAATGTTTACTGTCCGATAGTTTGTGGGTGGTTTATAGTTCGTAGGCAGAGGTTGCGTTGGAGTTTATTACCAAAACTACATGCAATTTTAATTAGTTTGCCACTTATTTTGCATGGGCAGAGTTGCAATTATTTACAATTACAATTACTTGATGAATTCCTACTGTAATATAGTATGATAAGGTTCTATTGCTTTTCCTTTAGACAGCATTCTTGACAAAGGTTCAGCATGAAGCCGATGATTACCATTCGACTAATGGCAAATAAAAGTACTCATCTTCTAGTGAAAAATTTAAGGAATGCAGCTACTGTTGACAAAATGGTTGAGTGCATTATATACCTGATGTGATTTTGGGGTCTCGTGCTGGCTTTCACGGCTAGAAATAAAAAGTTTGGCCTTTTAACGGCAAACAGTTCCTTTCCATTATTTTTTATTAAAAATATTTTAAACTTTTTTAACGACAGTGGAGGTTGTCAACTTTACGCCAAACGGCTGTTTGTTTTGCCATTTTACGCCAACGGCTAACCTCATTGAGAACCTCTTAACTTCTTATGCTTCGGCCTCTTTGCAGATGTCTCTGAATCCAATATCAAAGTCTTGTTTACAATGACGTAAATGTGAATAGTTTGGAACTCTTTTGCAATGAAGTAAGAATTTGTAAGAATCGTGTGGGAATATCTCAGAAGTGTACGTATCTGTCAAGTTCTTTGTAAGGTATTTTTCCTCCGAGAGCAGGCCAATTTACAAAACAGTTTATTACTTTTTCCTTGGAGTAAAGCGCTGAAATGGATCAAGAGCCACAGCCATCATGTCTCGGAATATGTTTTAATTTGATTATTTTATTTAGTGTGAATTTGTGTGGCTCTAATAGCATTCAAACAGACTTGCCATCAGCGGTCAATGCCTCAGTAAGCTCAGTTCTATCTCGCCTAAGTTTTCAGTAATAACGTTCAGACGTGATTCTACGCTTGAACAAGAATCATTGGCCCTTATCTTCCTCGTCAGGAAGATTGCCGTGAAGAAAGCTTCATAATGGACTTGAAAACAGTTATCAATTCAATACAAAAAAAACGTACGATGTATAAGCAAGGAATCACTAGACCCACACAGATGATCGATGAGCAGTGAATTGATGTGCTCAGCTGTGTGTGGAGATGTTTAGTTTTGTCAGTTTTATGGAGCGCTGATGTATTGTTTTTAACATGTCATGATAACACTTGTAGCCGACACATAATGGTAGATAATTGAGTAAAACGGTCCACCTCAGTGCTCCATCATTGTGCCGTGTTTTCTGATTGATGACAATTATGTATTGATGATCAATACGATGGATACCTACGTGATATTTTTAAAAGCTATGATCTCCCTCGAAGTTGCGAAATTTTTAATTTATTCCACCTACTCGCCACTTTTCACTTCCGTTGCTTGTCAAAATTTGTTGTTATTCGAAGGGAAATCAGGATCATTCAAAGTTTCTGGGAAACGAGCCCAAAAGCACCTGATCAAAAACGACCACGATTCCTCATCGAGCCTCGATTTTGCAATCGAGCCTCGATTATGCAATCGAGCCTCGATTTTGCAATCTTGCCTCGATTTTCCAATCGAGCCTCGATTTTCCAGTCGAGCCTCGCAACCGAGCCTCGCTTTACTAATCGAGGCTCAATACGGGAGGAAGTCTGGGGCGAGCGAGAGTGGCCATGTTCTAGCATACTTGTCGTCGCGAACTCAGGTCTTGTTTTAAAACAAAGTTCTCTAAGACATCAAAAGTAGCTAAAGAATCGTTCAACGCAAGATCTATCTCTTCTTCGCTAAACGCCATATTGGATGTGATACCTAACAAACTGACGTCACATTCTGCTGTCAATAAAAAATACTGGACCAATCAGAATTGCCCGTTCGTGAGCGAACGGGTTATTCAAATTTTCAAGTACTGCTGGCAGGCGTTCCCTTCTCTCCTCTCCACCTCCCCCCACCTTCTAATTGTTCGCCTCGCTGCATTTTACGCGCGGTCTGGAAAATAAAACAGAAAGCCCAAAGTCCTAATTTTCGCCCAAACTCCACAAGAACGCCTGCTCTGCAGGCTAAGATTTTCTGATAAGACCTTATCAGATATCAAAGACCAGCTCGCCTAGATTAGTTGTAGCCGACTAGCAGTAAACTCTATTTTAAGAGTGAAAAACTAATGATTCGCATGACTCCATGACAAACCATCGCTAAGGGAAAATGTATGAAAATGTACGTGGGTTACAGATGTTTCTAGATTTACTCCTCGCTGTCGTTGCAGCTAAGGCTCCCCCCCCCAAGAAGTTGTCCATAGATGTGAAACTTTGCAATTGACTTAAATTAGATCTCAATTTTGATTTCTGATTACTCGTTGACCACATGCTTGCATTTCATGTTTTTTCTTAAAATAGACCTTGCGATCATGATGATCGTTTACAGTAAGCCAACAGCTTTACGAAAGGAATAACGCTATGATATAAAGACTTTTATGATTATTTTCAGTGCAAAAGAGGACTAACTGCACATGGAAAGGAATCTTAAGATAATGGTTTTCCAGGGTGAAGAAACACCAAATTTAAACCCAACAGAGAAGAGGAAGATCAGAGAACTCACAATTGCTTGAAAAGCTATATTTTATCACAAAACCCGCGTATCTCCCCTAAAACGGGACCGAAGCTCTGCGTGCCGTCGCGCTAGTTTGCTGACGAGATTGACGGGAGATAAAAATAATAACTGCTAATGTGGGATAAATTGGCCACAAAGTGACGCTTTTATTTCACCAGACATCAAGAAAATTGATATAATAAACATCTCGCAATCTCTTAAGCAAAGGTGGGGTTAAATATCGGCAAAGAGCCAAATACGTATAAAAAGGCAACAAAAGCCTGAAGAGAAGGCCGGAGCATTGGGAGGGGGCGGGAAAATTCTTCTACAGTACCGAAAATCTGTGTTCGGATGTTAACACGATGGAAATGAAGGCGAGAAGGACCAGGAGAGAAACTGACTTTGCCTATAACCTTGGTGCTATGTGATCTGACCTCATTTGATTGGCTTAAGATCTGTGATTGACAACTCTCCTTGCCCCTTGCAAAGGCACACCTAAATACTTAACTCTATATGACGGGCCTCGAGATAAAATCACATTGCGCTTTTGTCATAATGTTGGCCTTTAGTTGATTGACTAAAAAACAGCACACACATAAGAAAAAAAAAAAAAAGAACTCAAGTTTCTCAAGTTGTACCGATATAAGATAACCCCTTTATTTTGGTAAGAGGAATGACGCTACAATGATTTATATTTGATGTCCCGTTTATAATTTCTAAAAGGACAGGTCTCCCGAAGTGAAAATGGAATAAAGAGATAATAGAGTGAGATCATGGAATTGAAGAAGGCTGTAGCCTCAGATCTGTTCGGATTCGTGCCACAAATCTCTTCTCTGAGTACGACATCGAATATGATATTAGTATGTGCTGGCATGAAAGTGATATTGAATCAGCTATGCTGATACAATTAAAAAACCTTCGTGTTTCACCAAATTTGTGCAACCACTTCAGAAAAACATTTAAAAGAAGTCAACACACTTTTCAGTTCATACCAGACTAGTCCGTTTTCCAGTAGTGGTGTTTTTTGTACGTGAATCAGTTGGGTTTGTTTTCTTGCAGAGCTGAACTATGAAACACTTTATCATTGCGACTGTATTTCTCTCCATCGTGTGCATTCTCTGGAATGTAAGTTATTTGATATTTTGCTGCTTTCAGATTTCATTGAAGGGAACATGTATATGTCAGATCAATACTTTGGCTTCGTTTCGAACGGATTTTGTAAAAACGATAAGGAAAAGGCTTTACGTTACTTTTGCAGAATAGAGCAGCCCGTGTGTTGACATTCTCTAACTATGATGCTGATGCAACTGAGCTACTCGAGTTTTTAGGGTGGAGAAATCTTGCACGCCAGCAGGAAATCCATAAAGCCACCATGATGTTTAGATGTCTGCACGGGCTAGCTCCAAGGTATCTATATTCAAAGTTTACGTGGCGTGACTCTGNAACATGTATATGTCAGATCAATACTTTGGCTTCGTTTCGAACGGATTTTGTAAAAACGATAAGGAAAAGGCTTTACGTTACTTTACCCCTTTTCCTCAGAAATGCAACTTAAAGAAAGTTTTAATGGAAGAACCCAATCTAAATTTTATTTCATAGAGTAGGGACATGGCGTCATTTAATTACTAGAGATAGAAGAAGGATAATTGGACCTACAGTGTACAAAATTGTTTTCCTTCGGCAGAATCAAGTATCGGGTTCCTCACTCAGGACCAAGAAAGGTAATCTTTTCATCCAATATTACTGACCTTGAGAAACGTTTTGGGGACGTAGATAAAGATAAAACTGCGTACGATGCAGTTGGATCTGCATCTTTTAAAGAAAGAATTAAGCTTTTTACCTTTATCTTGAGCTTGTAACTCTCTTAGTCCTATTAATTTCTAAACAACTTTAAATTCAAATTACGAAGGAGAATGATGAAGTCGACAAAAACTTAAATATTGTTTTTGAATACCTATATACAAATTGAGCTTACCTTTGTTCGACAATAAAAAGGAAATGTTTTAAATCAATTCGTGTTAAAACCCTATTAAAATACACGTCTAACAGTTTTGTGCGAAAAATCGTATTGGTGGGAAACTGATTACGAACTGCTTTGTATTGAAAATGCAGATACTTCCAGTTACATTTCTATGAAGCGAGAGCGGCCACTTTTGACTGATGGACCTGTACGTGGTACACCAAATCAAACCAGATGGGGCTAATTACTTCAAAGACAAATGTAGAGTTCATCTGTTGCTTTCGCAAGCATTTAATTGAAATTAAGTGACTTGATGCGCATTTTAATCTCTTTTATGTGAACAAGAGGGACAAACAGGCACCGAAAAGTACACAGTGCTGAGAATTTTCGAGTTTAAAACTGTAGCGCTTGGGAACGATAAAATCTTGAGCTTT